CCCCTCCCCTCTCTTCCCCTCCCCTCTCCTCTCCTCTCCTCTCCCCTCCTCTTTTATTTAAGCTGTTGGTTTCACCTGTAAAATGGAGAAGAATAAGAATAATACCTAACCCTGCAGGACTGTTGTAAAGGATTAGAGAAAATAAATATTTGCAGTGTTCAACACAGGTTCAGGAGCTGATAGCTGCCAGTGATACCACTCTTACCCCACCCTCATGCAGTTCTGTGATTCTGGTTAACTCCTACAGGTTTTGACGTGAAGGACCATGCTCAGAAGCAGGAGACTGCCAACAGCCTACCGGCCCCTCCTCAGATGCCCCTGCCGGAGATCCCTCAGCCCTGGCTGGTGAGTCAAGGTCCCAGTTGCAGCAGTCATTGATGGAGGCCTGGGGATACTTACGGGCTCCAGAGGCCTGTGATGGAAGCCCAGTGTGGAAGAATGGAGCTCTTATTTTGCTTGAGGCACTCTTTTCAGTATATTTCTAAGGCTGAGAAGCTGTTAGTGACAGCTGATTGGTAGTCTCTAAGGGTAGACTTCCCTTGGGAAGCTGGCATTTCTTTGCAGACAACAGGAGCTACAAGTCTGTAGACATCTTTTCTTACATCAGATTAAGAAAAACAAAATTTAGGGTATTTAGCAGATGAAAGTGTCTGTAGACCTTGCGGACTTGACCCTCTTCTGAGTTAATTCTGAAGTTGAATACCTTATTATGAAACTTTAATAGTCATTGTTAGACTTCTTCTGGGGTTAACTTAGAAGTCAGCTGTCCATTTTTTTTTCCAAGAGAGAAAAAGATGTACATATTTCAGGAATGTGTACTTTAGTTTTATGCATTCAAATTCAAAATTTGTTATTTTAAAAAGATCCGGCGAGGCTCACATATGCAACTTTTTATGTACCATTCAGCTTTTTCTATATTTTCCTGTTTTCTAACTTGTTTACTCAGGGAATTCAGAGTGTCATTCAAAATTATGGCAAAATCAGCCGCAATTCTCTTTCTATGTTTGCTTTCAGTATGAATCATCTGATGATCTCTCTGCCAGGATAGGAACTGTGGGCAGGCAGGGCTGTTTGTCATTCATGCCCGCTCTGCCTGGGCCTGGTACAGTGTTCAAGAGTCTTGGACTGCAGCGGGCACAGAGGGAAACAAGCACTTACCGGGTTCCTGCCACACGCCACCAGAAATCACAACTCATTGACTCCCACAGCTCAGCCTCAAAGAGCCCCTGACATTCTCCTTATCTGGAGAGGCGTGTGTGCACCCATTTTTCCGAGAAGAAAGCTGAGACTCAGTGAAGGTGTGTGGTTTGTTCAACATCACATAGTAAGTAGAGAGGGCAGAGATTGCAACATTTATTTCAAATTTATGCTTTTCCCAACAATACAAGTTCAAAGGTGTGGCAGCAAATCAGACGCAAGTGTGCCGCAGATCCAGGGAGGCCATGGGCCGCAGGGGCAGTCCAGGGAGGCCTCGGGCCACAGGGGGAGTCCAGGGAGGCCTCGGGCCCAGGGGCAGTCCAGGGAGGCCACGGGCCACGAGGGGAGTCCAGGGTGGCCGCAGGCCGCAGGGGCAGTCCAAGGGGGCCGCGGGCCGCAGGGGGAATCCAGGGGGGCCGCGGGCCCGGGGGCAATCCAGGGGGGCTGCGGGCCGCGGGGGCAGTCCAGGGGGGCCGCAGGCCACGGGGGCAGTCCAGGGGGGCCGCAGGCTGCAGGGGAGTCCAGGGGGGCTGCGAGCCATGCGGGGAGTCCAGGAGCAAGGCTGCCTGCTTCCTGCCCCGGTGCTGCCCCAGACTCCTCATATGATTTGGGGAGATTGATGTAACCTCTGTGCCTCAGGATTATCCAGGAGATGGGAAGAGTGAATATGTCTCAAGTGCTTAGGATATATTTAAGTCCTGTGCTCTAATCACTCCTTAGAGCAGCACTTCTCAAACTGTAACCTTCTGCTAACCACCTGGGCATCTTAATGTGCAGGTTCTGGTTCACTAGGTGTGGATGAGGCCGTTGGTGCTGCCCTTCTCCTCCACCTCCCCCCACTCCCCTCCCTTCCTCCCCTCCCACCGTCCCTTCCCTTCCTCCCCTCCCACCCTCCCCCCCTCCCACACTTTCTCCCCTCCCTCTCTCCCTCCTTCCCTCCATCCCCTCCCCTCCCTCCCTCCCTCCATTCCTCCCTTCTTCCCTTCCTCCCTTCCTCCCTTCCTTCCTTCCTCCCTCCATCCCTCCCCTCCCTCCTCTCCTTCTCTCTGTCTCTCCCTTCCCCTCCCCTGTCTTTCCTCTTTCCTCTTCTTTCTGCTTTCTTCTTCTTCCTCTTTCCTCCTCTTCCCTCTTCCCTCTTTCCTTTCTCTTTTCTTGACAGGGTCTTGCTGTGTCACCCAGGCTGGAGTGCAGTGGCTCATTCGTAGCTCACTGCAGCATCAACATCTTGGACTCAAGCAGTCCTCTCTCCTCAGCCTCCCAAGTAGCTGGGATTGCAGGTGTGACCCACCCTGCCTGGCCTCCTTTGCTGTTTTTAGATACAATGTGATATTAAAGTCCAGCAGTATATAATTGTTAATTTAAAAGATGAAGAGCTAGATGGGAAATCAGTAGTTCCTCCATTTTCTGGCTTCATCTTCTGGTTTATTTTCATTTTTCTTAGTAAGGTTGTCTGGAATCTCTGGCTTTCCTGTCTGTGATGGGTCTTATGTTTCATCTTCACATTTCATATCGGGAAAGCTGTTCTGAGACTGAGGGGAAACTGAGAACAATTAGAAGCAGCTGAGGCGGGACGCGGTGGCTGCCTGTCATCCCAGCCCTTTGAGAGGCTGAGGCGGATGGATCGCCTGAGCTCAGGAGTTCAAGACTAGCCAGGGCAACATAGCAAACCACGTCTCTACAAGAAATACAAAAATTAGCTGGTTATGGTGGCATGCAGTGTAGTCCCAGCTACTCAGGAGGCTGAGGTCGGAGGATCGCTTGATCCCGGGAGGTGCAGGTTGCCATAAGCCAAGATTGCACCACTGCGCTCTACCCTGGGTGACAGAGTGAAACTCTGTCTCAAAGAACCAAAAACCGGCTGGGTGTGGTGGCTCATGCTTGTAATCCCAGCACTTTGGGAGGCCAAGGTGGGTGGATCATTTCAGGTCAGGGGTTCAAGACCAGCCTGGCCAACGTGGTGAAACCCTATGTCTACTAAAACTACAAAATTAGCTGGGTGTGGTGTTGGGCACTTGTAATCCCAGCTACTCAGGAGGCTGAAGCAGGAGAATTGCTTGAACCCAGGAAGCAGAGGTTGCAGTGAGCCAAGATCGAACCATTGCACTCCAGCCTAAGCCACAGAGTAAGACTCCATCTCAAAAAAGCCCCAGACTAAAACGAAGGCAGCAGCTGGAAGAGTAGCAGTTGTCCTGTGACAGTCATGGACTCTTCTCTAGTGCCGCTGAAGTGCCCTCCCACCTGCTCTGGACCAAACCGTATGTCCCTGATGTGCCAACTGGGTGGAGCGGAGGGATGCCAGTTTCAGACGAAGAGTTCTCCTGACTGGTCAGCGTTTTCTACCACAGTCCACCTCTGTGTTGTCCTCAGATGTAGTTCATTACTTACGCATTCATTCATCCTCTTTCTCCCTCTCTCGTCCCCTCTCCTTGTCTCCTGCTCTCCCCTGGCCTATGCTCTGCTCCTGCCTGTGGTAGCCAAATGACAAGCTAGACTGGGTTTCGGTACGTAAGAGGCTCTTCTGCTGGTATAGTCCAAGCTGGCCAATCAAGAATGCTGGTGAAAGTGAGAAAATTCTAAAAAGGTCCACATTAACGTGTGCTTTAAATACGCCAGGTGGACGTGAACGATTGAAGTGTTGTGAGCTGCCATACCTAAATGAATACTTTTTTTTTTTTTTTTTTTTTTTTTTTTTTTTTTTTTTTTTGAGACGTAGTTTCACTCTTGTTACCCAGGCTGGAGTGCAATGGCGCAATCTCAGCTCACCGCAACCTCCGCCTCCTGGGTTCAGGCAATTCTCCTGCCTCAGTCTCCTGAGCAGATGGGATTACAGGCATGCGCCACCATGCCCAGCTAATTTTTTGTATTTTTAGTAGAGACGGGGTTTCACCATGTTGACCCCCCGGTCAACAAGGATGGTCTCGATCCCTTGACCTCGTGATCCACCCAAAGTGCTCGGCCTCCCAAAGTGCTGGGATTACAGGCGTGAGCCACTGCACCCAGCATGAATACTTTTTGAGTAACAGTTTGCCAGCGGGTGATTTCTCCCTCCTGATGCTTAGTGCATGAGTCGCAAGGTGATTTTCCCTGGACGTCTAAGCCGTGCTTACTCCCCAGAAAACCACTGTGTTTTGCTGTAAGCCAAGAGCCACATGCTTTGGTGTGGTGCTACTTATGGACTTTGGCTGGTGTTTTCTGTGTACTCTATACGTATGTTACACTGTTAGTAATTTCCAGTTTTTGTAACAATCTGAGCTTAGAATCCCTAGAATTTTATGCATGTTGCCCTGTCTTTTTTTCCTTTGTTTTAAGACACAGGGTGTCACTTTGTTGCCCAGGCTGAAGTGCAGTGGCGCAGTCATAGCTCACTGCAACCTCGAATTCCTGTGCTCAAGCAATCGTCCTGCCTAGGCCTCCCAAAGTGCTGGAATTACAGGCATGAGCCACTGTGCCCTGCCCGGTTTGTTTTGACTGAACCTTTCTAAAGCATCTCAGAGAATCATCAGCTTGCCTTTTGTACTCATTTTTTTCATTGGTTTGTTATGTAATGATCAAATTCAAGTAAATAATTATAGTAATAAGAATTTAAAGAACGCAGCTGACTCTTGGTAAATACACAACTCAACAGGTGGGATGGTTTTTGTAGACACCTCAGAGAGGAGCCTGCAGCCATGAATGTTTAGCATCTTAGGGATATCAGGGTGTTTTACAGGAGAATAGAGCAGCTGTCAACTCCGTGAGTCAGGGAGGTGGGGCTTGGTTAAGGTAGCTCAACTGTAGTTTTCTGATAGTTTTTTAGTGAATTTGGGATTCAGCTAGTCAATAAGTACATTCAGTTTGTCTTTAGCGAATTGACTTTTGGCCAGTTGGTCATTTTGCTATTGGTGAATCGATTCAAGAGAATTTGCTTATAATGAGGTCAAGATGGAACGGGTAGGCAGCTGTGCCAGGCAGAGGTGTGCTGTAAATTAAAGCACAAGCCAGAGAAACAGCCAGTTGCACTAGGAGCATTGCAGGTAGCCCCGTCTTGCTGGATAATGGGATTTGGGCAGGAAATCCACAGATGAGGCCGAATTCTCTGCAGGGGCTGAATTACAAAGGACCTGTGTGTTGTGATGGGAAGTTGGGAATTTTGTGAAAGCAGCAGTACG